AAAAAAAAAAAAGAAGATGGATTGATGCAAACAGAACTGGGGTACAGGCCAGAGGTGTGGGGGTTAGGGGGAGGTGAGAGGATCCCCAGAGACAGAGCAGGGAGAAGAACAAGCAGATCCACTGAACTACACTGCTGAAGGGAGCAGCGGGGAGACAGGAGAGGTCTGCTGGGCCCTGGCCGGGATAGAACTTGTGCTTCAGGGGCTGCAGACAGCTTCATGGTGCTGCGCTTTAACCCCTACACGACCAGGGAGGCCCTGGACCTGTGGACTTGTGATGATGTGCCCAGCGATGGGTCTCCGGCTGTGGCTCCGTGGCCACGTGTGTCTCCATTCACTTTTGAGTGGAGCCCTCGGGACGTGGTTTTGTCAGCACAGTACTCACGTTCTCGATGAGTGCTAAGAACGGCCTATGAACAGAGACACGCAGAAGGCAATGCTGCCCCCACACCAGCCGGGCGTCAGTGTGGGCCAGGATGCTCCGAGGGCCGGAGAGTGATGTCTCCTGTTTCCTTCACACCCCGAAGGAGCACCAGCGCCTGTCACACTGCACATTTCCTGGGCCTCAACCTTCGATGCTGTCTCTGCTCTTGCTTAGTGAGATACCAGTAAGGAAGCAAGCGGAAGGCAAATACGGTCGCTTTAGGCAGCAATGAATGTCATGAGTGAGTGAGGCAGGAAAGGGTTGAGGGGGAGGGACGACCTTAGCAAAGGTGCTCAAAGTCCAGGGGAATCACTGTGGGCAACGGGGGCCTGGGCAGAAACTGTGTGTGTGTGTGTGTGTGTGTGTGTGTGAGTGCGCATGCGCATGTGGGGTAGTTTGTGTTTGCACGCAGGGTGTGTGGGGGGTTAACAAAAGTCAGGAGCCTGCGCCGAGGCGCCCAGCTTCCATGGGGCCTCTCACCCAGATGACCCCCTTTCCAGAGCCAGCCCTGACAGCTCCCGGAGCAGGCCCCCCGCCCAGGAGCTTGCATGCTCCTGTGACCCCATTTCCGTGTGCTGTTGCGAGGGCCCTCACCAAGCCCACCCTGCAGCACTGACCTAGAGACCCTTCCCCAGAGCTGTGGGACAGGCCCTGCTCTCCGTGCCGCGCTCATGACAGAGCCCCATTCTGGGCACACTGTTGTGTAGCAACAAGACCTAGGTTTGTGCCAGTAAGACGCCATTTTTTAATGATTTTCTGCCTCGTAGCCTAGTTTAATTTCCGTCCTGAAACTATCCTCCGGATTCCAAGATGCCTTGGGCTTGCCTTCCCTGTCCCTCACGCAGGTCCTGCTCTGCCCCCCACCATCCCCCTCAGACTTCTCTCCTCCTCTCTGTCTCCCCTGTCTTCCCCCTTTCCCATCCCTCCTCTCCTCCATAAGCTCCCTCCCCCTCCCCCCTGCTCCCTCCTTCACCTCCTCTTTCCCACTGCCTGGGCCATCTCCTCACAGCCTTCCTCTCAGATCTTCCTTTCCCTCCTCCTCACCCCTGCTCTGCGCCCCTCCCCTGCCCCTCTGCTCACTCCAGCTCCTCTGGGCCTCCAGAGGCAGGCTGCCCTCCACTGGGCCTTCAGGCCATTCTCCCTGGCTCAGGGAGCCCCCCTTGGCCTCCCTCACAGCTCTGCCCTCTGCAAGAAGCCAAGCAGTGGAGGGGGCGCTGAGGCCTGGAGCAGAGGACCTGGAGGCTTCCTCTAAAGGCAGAGGAATGGGGGCCTGGGGGCTTGGTTCAAAGGGCAGGCCCCTCTCTGTCTTCTGCCACCTTGGGGGTACCCTGTGACTCAGTTTCCTCGGCTGCCTCACTGCGGCCACAGCTTCCTCTCCTCTTGCTCAGTGAACTCCAGCCACCCTCCCCTCTGCTGTTCTGCTGCCTGGGTGGCGCTTCTGCAGAGCTACATGGTTGTTCCAGTGGCTCTTGCCTCGCCCCTCCAAATGCCACCTCCTCAGGGACCACCCCCAGAAAGGAGCACCCCTCTAGCCTCCAGCACCCCGTGCCATTTTCTTTCCTCGCGACATTTACCAGTACTGGGAAGCACACTGTCTCCCAGGCGCTGCTTTCACAGGACACAGGCGGGCGAGGCGCCCAGTGGG